TGTATTTATTATTATCACAGTGTTGTTATTATTATTATTCCCATTGATATTTTATTTCACTTTTTATAAAAAAATTTATTTACTGTGAATTATTATCATTATTACATTCTCGGCCCCCGGGCCCTGATGTGGGTCAGTGACCTGTGCCCGGGTGGGTTAATTCCCGTAAAAAAAAAATGTATGCCCTTAGCAAAATTGTTTAACATGTCATTAAAAACGGGTGTAGTACCAGAATCCCGGAGGTGAGCGAATGTGATACCGATTTTCAGGAAGGGGGATAGATCACTATCCTCTAACTACCGTCCAATCAGTTTAACATTAATTGTAGGCAAATTGATGGAAGCAATAATTTCAAACTTTATTGGAAAACATCGAAAGGACAAGACGTACCTTGCGCTCCTCCGGCAGCAGGCACGTCAACTGTTATGTTGGCCCATACCAACTCCCTCCCCTGAACCCCTCCTCCCCACCGGATTTTCAACAAGTTCTCGCCATTTAGGAAAGGAATGGAACCAGTGTTGAATAGGGATGAACAGTGCTCAAGTCAGTGAAAAACAACTCAACAGTAACAGCTGAATCGCACCCAAGCTAACCTTCACACAGTGAGGTCCCAGGTACCCAATGATAACAGCCCATGAGACGCAACAACAGCTGTGTGTTGATCCATCCACAATAGGAAGGCCTGGGACCACTCCTCACTCTCTTGAGTGAGTGGGGTCCTGTTACACCAGACCACGTGGTGTCCCCATGATGCTACGACACCACGTAGTGAATGAGTTGCTACAGCATCATGCGAGGTTCCTCATAACACCATCTGTGAGGGAATTACTACACCACGTGATGCCCCTCATAACACCATCAGTGAGGGAATTACTACACCACGTGATGCCCCTCATAACACCACCTGTGAGGGAATTACTACACCACGTGTTGCCCCTCATAACACCACCTGTGAGGGAAGTACTACACCACGTGATGCCCCTCATAACACCATCTATGAGGGAATTACTACACCACTTCAGGCCCCTCATAACACCATCTGTGAGGAAATTACTACACCATGTCAGGTCCCTCATAACACCATCTGTGAGGGACTTACTACACCACGTCAAGACCCTCATAACACAATCTGTGAAGGAGTTACTACACTACGTGTCTGCTCTTCAACACCTCAGTGCACATGATCTACGTGACCTCCATTGTAAACATTAAACCGTATGTTCACTATATGTTTCTTTACCATTCTCTAATAAGAACATAAGAATATAAGGAGTCTGCAATAGGCCGGTTGGCCTGTACTTGGCAGATCCTGTCGAGAGTTACTACCACTCTCTATCATACATGAATCTATCCAGCCTCCTTTTAAAACTTTCCAGCGTTCCAGCACTTACTACAAAGTTGCTAAGCTTGTTCCACTCGTCCACCACCCTATTTCTGAACCAGCGCCTTCCTATCTCCCACCTAAACCTAAACCTATTCAATTTAAATCCGTTGCTACGATTCCTATCCTGCTCGGATATTATAAAAACTGTATCTATATCTTCTTTATTGATTCCTTTCACCCACTTATATACTTCTATCATATCTCCCCGCACTCTTCGTCTTTCTAGGGAATGCAAGTTTAGTTTCTCTAACCTATCTTGATATTTGAAGGCTTCTAAATCCCGGAATCATTTTCGTCATTCTTCGCTGCATCGACTCAAGTGAATTGATATCCATTTTATAATAAGGGCACCAGAACTGAACAGCATAATCGATGTGCGGCCTGACTAGCGCAAGAAATAGTTGCAATAAGACCTCTGCACTCATATTACTTACACTTCTAGATATAAAACCTGATACTCTGTTTGCCTTATTTCGAACATTAACGCACTGCTTTCCAGGCCGTAGGTCCGGGCTTACAAGTACCCCTAAGTCTCTTTCGTAAGTCGACTTCTCTAGGTTGATGTTGTTAAGGCTGTATACATTGACAGTATTTGTTCTTCCAATATTTAGTACGATGCACTTGCTGGTGTTGAATTTCATTTGCCATTTCTGACCACTCTTGCAAGTTATTTAAATCCTCTTGTAATGCATTTGCATCCTACCCTGAATTAATCTGCCGCCCTATTTTGGTGTCATCCGCAAACTTGCTTATGTCACTGCTGATCCCAGTATCTAGATCGTTTATGTAGACTATGGACAAGAGTGGGCCCAGTACTGACCCCTGGGGAACCCCACTGCTTACACAGCCCACTCAGATTTAACACCATCTACGCTGACCCTCTGTGTTCTCTCGGTGAGCCATGGTTTTATCCAATTTAAAATTTTCCCCTCGATACCATGAGCCATAACCTTTCTCAGAAGCCTCTGATGCGGTACTCTATCAAACGCTTTGCTAAAGTCTTAAGTAAATAGCATCGTAATTTTCGTCATTATCTACTACCTCGAAGACTTTCCTAAAAAACGTCAGCAGATTTGCTAGACAAGATTTTCCCTTTGTAAACACATGTTGAGAGTCGTAGATTAATTTGTATTTCTCTAAATGCGATCGGATGCTATTTGCTATAATTGATTCAAGAAATTGCCTCACTACTGACGTCAAACTAATTGGCCGGTAATTTGACACTGATGCTTTGTCCCCCTATTTGAATATGGGTACTATATTTGCCTGTTTCCACAAGTCTGACACAACTCCTGTATCTAAGATTTTGTATATAAATCTACGGGGGGTCCGCTAATCTGTTCCTAACACTCTTTACAAACTCGAGGGAAAATTTCATCCTGCCCTGGGGATTTACCTTCTTAGGAATATCCTCTTTTCTGATAGTGATATTCTTTAATTTATCTTCTTCTCACTATCATCGATCACTTCCCCCCTTTTTGACTTTAAAGGTCCCACTTTGTCCTTGACCTTTGTCCTAAATACCTTGATTAATCCCTTGAGATTCGCCTTGGATTCTCTTGCTGTCCTGATTTTGTAGTCCCTCTTTGCCTTCCTTACATTTTTCGTAATATTCCTAGATAGCTCATTATACCTATTTCTGAGCTGCTCCTCCCCTCCCTTTAATTTCTTATAAATTCCTTTCTTTGTTCCTATGTCATGTTCAAGTTTTTTGGTCTTCCACCTTGGCTCATTCTTATTTGACCTAATTTTTCTGTATGGTATATTTTGTTCTTGTGCTTTACGTTGTGTTACCTGTGACCTCACCCGTTCCTGACTGTTCCCAAGTGCATCGTACTTAATATTGGAAGAACAAATACTGTCAATGTATACAGCTTTAACAACATCAACCTAGAGAAGTCGACTTGTGAAAGAGACTTAGGGGTACTTGTAAGCCCGGACCTATGGCCTTGAAAGCAGTATGTTAATGTTCGAAATAAGGCAAACAGAGTGTTAGGTTTTATATCTAGAAGTGTAAGTAATAAGAGTGCAGAGGTCTTATTGCAACTATTTCTTGCGCTAGTCAGGCCACACATCGATTATGCTGTTCAGTTCTGGTGTTGCTCTCTGCTGCTTCATCTTCCCAATCTGTCTTTGTTGTTTTTCTCATTTTATTGTCTCATCCTAGTTTTGTGTTTTGTTTTTTTTGGCCCTCGGAGTCATAATTCCTTCATATCCCCTGCTGTTGTCGGTGCTGTTGCTGGTGTTGCCGGTGGTGTTGAGCATGTTGCTGCTGTTGTTGGTGCTGCTGTTGCTGGTGTTGGCAGTGTTGCTGCTGTTGTTGGTTCTGCTGTTGCTGGTGTTGCTGCTGTTGTTGTTGGTGTTATTGCTGCTGTTGTTGGTGCTGCATTGTTGGTGTTGTTGCTGCTGTTGTCGGTGGTGATGCTGCTGCTCCTGTTGGTGGTGTTGCTGCTGTTGTTGGTGTTATTGCTGCTGTTGTTGGTGTTGTTGTTGGTGTTATTTGCTACTGTTGTTGGTGTTGTGCTGCTGTTGTTGCTGCTGTTGTTGGTGTTGTTGCTGCTGTTATTTGCTGCTGTTGTTGGTGTTGTTGCTGCTGTTGTTGGTGCTGTTGCTGCTGGTTGTTGCTGTTGTTGCGCTGTTGGCTGCTGTTGTTGTTGCTGTTGTGGTGCTGCTGCTGTTGTTGGTGCTGCGTTGTTGCAGCTGTTGCTGCGGTTGTTGCTGCTGTTGTTGGTGTTGGTTGCTGTTGTTGGTGCTGGGTTGTTTGTTGGCGTTGTGGTTGCGTTTGTTGCTGCTGTTGCTGCTGTTGTTGCTGCTGTTGCTGTCGTTGTTGTTGGTGCTGTTGCTGCTGCTGTTGTGTTGTTGTCTTGTTCTGTTTGTTGGTCATTGTTGTTGTTGTTGTTAGGCTTTGCTGCTGTTGTTGGTGTTGTTGGTTGCTGTTGTTGGTTGTTGCTGCTGTTGCTGGTGTTGCCGTTGTTGGCGCTGCTGTTGCTGTTGTTGGTGCTGGTTGCTGCTGTTGTTGGTGCTGCGTTGCTGGTGCTGTTGTTGCTGTTGTTGGTGTTGTTCGTTGCTTGTTGCTGCTGGGTTGTTGTTTGCTGTTGTTGGCGCTGTTGTTGGTGTTGTTGCTGGTTGTTTGCCGGTTGTTGGTGTTGTTGCCGGTTTGTCTTAGGTGCTGGTTGTTGCTTGGTTTGTTGTTGTTGTTGCTGTTGTTGGTGTTGGTTGCGCTGTTGTTGGTGTTGTTGCCGCTGTTGTTGCGGCTGCTGTTGGTGTTGCTGTTGCTGTTGGTGTTAGTTGCTGCTGGGTTGGTTGGCTTGTTGTTGCCGTTGCTGGTGCTGCTGTTGGTTGCTGTTGCTGTCGCTGCTGTTGTTCGCTGTTGTTGCCGCTGCTGTTGTAGTTGCTGGGCTGCTGGTTGTTGCTGCTGTTGTTAGCTGCTGTTGTTGCTGTTGTTGGTGCTGTTGTCTGCCGTTGCTGGTGCTGCTGTTGCCGGGCTGCTGTTGGTGCTGTTGCTGGTGCCGTTGTTGGCGCTGTTGTTGCTGCCGCTGTTGGCTGTTGTTGTTGCTGCTGTTGTTGGTGTTGGGTTGGTGCTGTTGTTGGTGCTGCTGTTGGCTGCTGGTTGTTGCTGCTGTTGTTGCTGCTGTTGTTGCTGCTGTTGTTGGTGCTGTTGTTGCTGCTGTTGTTGCTGCTGTGTTGGTTGCTGCTGTGTTGCTGCTGTTGTTGGTTGTTGTTATGCTGCTTGCTGGTTGTTGTTGGTGCTGGTTGTTGTTGCTGGTTGTTGCTGTTGTTTTGTTGCTGTTGTTGGTGCTGGTTGTTGCTGGGCTGCTGTTGGTGCTGCTGTTGTTGCCGCTGTTGTTGCTGCTGTTGTTGGCGCTGTTGTTGGCGCTGTTGTTGCGCTGTTGGTGCCGGTTGTTGTTGTCATTGGTTGGTGCTGTTTGTTGGTGTTGTTGCTGCCGTTTGCTGGTGTTGCTTTGCCGCTGTTGGTTGGTGCTGTTTGCTGCCGTTGTTGGTGCTTTGCTGGTGGCGTTTGTCTTGGTTGTTGTTGCTGCTTGTGTTGTTGTCTTGGTTGGTGCTGTTGGTGATGTTGCTGTTGGCGTTTGTCGCTGTTGTTGGCGCTGTTGTTGGTCTTTTGCTGGTCTGTTGTTGGTAGCTTTGCTGCTGTTGTTGGTGTTGTTGCCGCTGTTGTTGGTGCTGTTGTTGGTGCATTGCTGCTGGTTGTTCGCTGTTGTTGCGCTGCTGTTGCTGCTGTTGTTGGTGCTGTTTGCTGCTGTTGTTGCTGCTGTTGTTGGTGCTGTTGCTGCTGTTGTTGCTGCTGTTGTTGGTGTTGCTGGTTGCTGTTGTTGGTGTTGTTGCTGCTGTTGTTTGTGCTGCTTGGTTAGTGTTGTTGCTGCTGTTGGTGGTGCTGTTGCTGGTGTTGTTTGCTGCTGTTGTTGGCGTTGTTGCTGCTGTTGTTGCTGCTGTTGGTGTTGCTTGCCGTTGTTGGTGTTGTTGCTGCTGTTGTTGCTGCTGTTGTTGGTGTTGTTGCTGCTGTTTGTTGGTGTTGTTGGTTGCTGTTGTTGGTGCTGTTGTTAGTGTTATTGCTGCTGTTGCTGGTGTTTTTGCTGCTGTTGGTTGGTGCTGTTGTTGCTGTTGTTGCGTTGTTGTCGTCTGTTGTTGGTGTTGTTGCTGCTGTTGTTGGCGTGCTGTTGTTGCTGCTGTTGTTGCTGCTGTTATTGGTGCTGTTGTTGGTGCTGTTGCTTCTGTTGTTGCTGGTGTGTTTACTGCTGGTTGCTGGTGTTGTTGCTGCTGTTGTTAGCGTTATTGCCGGCTGTTGTTTGCTGCTGTTGTTGTTGCTGTTGTTGGCTGCTGTTGTTGGTGCTGTTGCTGCTGTTGTTGGTGTTGTTGGTGCTGTTGTTGGTGCTGTTGTTAGTTATTGCTGCTGTTGTTGCTGGTTGTTGCGTTGTTGCTGCTGTTGTTGGTGTTGTTGCCGCTGTTGTTGCTGGCTGTTGTTGGTGCTGTGTTGCTGCTGTTGTTGCTGCTGTTTGTTGATGTTGCTGTTGTTGATGCTGGCTGTTGTTGGCGTTGTTGTCACTGGTTATTGCTGCTGTTGTTGGTGTTGTTTGCTGCTGTTTGTTGCTGTTGGTTGCGTGCCGCTGTTGTTGCTGCTGGGTTGTCGGTTGCTGCTGGGTTGCTGGTGCTGCTGGTTGTCGTGTGTGTTGCTGCTGTTGCTGCTGCTGTTGCTGGTGTTGCTGCTGTTGCTGTGCTGCTGTTGTTGGCGTTGTTGCTGCTGTCTATTGTTGCTGCTGTTGCTGCTGTTATTGGTTGCTGCTGTTGTTGCTGCTGTTGTTGGGTGTTTGCTGCTGTTGTTAGTGTTGTTGCTGCTGTTGCTGGCGTTGTTGGGTTGCTGTTGTTGGTGCTGTTGTTGGTGTTATTGTTGCTGGTTGTTGGTGTTGTTGCTGCTGGTTGTTGGTGCTGCTGTTATTTGATGCTGTTGCTTGCTATTGTTAGTGTTTATTGCTGCTATTGTTGGTGTTGTTGCTGCTGTTATTTGCTGCTGTTAGTGTTATTGCTGCTGTTATTGCTACTGTTGCTGCTGTTGTTGCTGCTGCTGTTGTTGCTGCTGTTATTTGCTGCTGTTGTTGGTGCTATTTGCTGCTGTTGTTGGTGTTGTTTTTTTTGGCGTTGTTGCTGCTGTTGTTGGTGTTGTTGCTGCTGTTGTTGATTGCTGCTGCTGTTGGTGCTTTTGTTTGCTGTTGTTGGTGTTGTTGGTGCTGTTGTTGGTGCTGTTGTTAGTGTTATTACTGCTGGTGTTGCTACTGTGTTAGTGTTATTTACTGCTGTTGTTGGTGTTGTTGCTGCTGTTTGTTAGTGCTGCTTTATTGGTACTGTTACTGCTGTTGTTAGTGTTATTTGCTACTGTTATTGGTACTGCTATTTGTTAGTACTGTTATTGCTGTTGTTTGGTGTTGTTGCTGCTGTTGTTTGCTGCTATTTGTTAGTGCTGCTGTTGTTGGTTGTTACTGCTGTTGTTAGTTTATTGCTGCTGTTGTTAGTGCTGCTGTTGTTGGTGCTTTCTGTTGTTGCTGTTGTTGGTATTATTGCTGCTGTTGTTGGTGTTGTTGAATTGCTGTTGTTGGTATTTGCTGCTGTTGTTGCTGCTGTTGTTGATGTTATTTGCTGCTGTTGTTGCTGCTATTGCTGTGTTATTTACTATTTGTTGCTGCTGTTATTGCTGCTGTTGTTGGTGCTATTGCTGCTGTTGTTAATTGCTGCTGTTGTTGCTACTGTTGTTTCTGCTGTTATTTGCTACTGTTGTTAGTGCTGCTATTGTTGCTACTATTGTTTTTCTGTTATTTGCTGCTGTTGTTGGTACTATTGCTGCTGTTGTTAGTGCTATTTATTGCTGCTGTTGTTAGTACTGTTATTTTTATGTTGTTAGTGCTGTTATTTGCTGCTGCTGTTGGTACTGCTATTATTGCTGCTATTGTTGGTCTGTTATTGGTGCTGTTGTTGGTGCTGCTGTGCTGCTGTTATTTGCTGCTGTTGTTGGTGTTATTTGCTGCTGTTGTGTGTTGTTGCTGCTGTTGTTGCTGCTGTTGTTGGTGCTGTTGTTGGTGTTATTTGCTGCTGTTGTTTGCTGCTGTTGTTTGCTACTGTTATTTGCTGCTGTTGTTAGTGCTGTTGTTAGTGTTATTGCTGCTGTTGTTGGTGCTATTTGTTGCTGCTGTTGTTGTTGCTGTTATTGCTACTGTTGTTGGTGCTGTTATTTGCTGCTACTGTTGGTACTGCTGTTATTGCTGCTGTTGTTGGTGCTATTGTTGGTACTGTTGGTTAGTCTGCTATTTGCTACTGTTAGTGCTGCTGTTATTTGCTGCTGTTTGTTAGTGCTACTGTTGTTGTGTTATTTCTTCTGTTGTTGGTGTTGTTGCTGCTGTTGTTGGTGTTATTTGCTGCTTTGTTAGTTCTGTTGTTGGTGTTATTTGCTGCTGTTGTTTGCTACTATTGTTGCTGTTGTTGCTGCTGTTGTTGGTGCTGTTGTTAGTGTTATTGCTGCTGAGTGTTGGTATTTATTTGCTGCTGTTGTTGAGTACTGTTGTTGAGTATTATTGCTGCTGTTGTTTGAGTATTGTTGCTACTGTTGTTGGTGTTATTTGCTGCTGTTGTTAGTGCTGTTATTAGTATTATTGCTGCTGTTGTTACTGCTGTTGTTATTTTGTTATTGGTACTTTTGTTGATATTGTTACTGCTGTTGTGCTGCTGTTGTTAGTGTTATTGCTGCTGTTATTGCTGCTGTTGTTAGTGTTATTTACTGCTATTGTTAGTATTGTTGCTACTGTATTTTTCTGTTATTTTTATTTGCTGTTATTGTACTGCTGTTGTTAGTATTATTACTGCTGTTTATTGGTATTTATTGCTGCTGTTAGTGCTGCTGTTGTTGGTGTTATTTGCTGCTGTTGTTGGTGTTATTGCTGCTATTGGTGCTGCTATTGTTGGTGTTATTGCTGCTGTTGTTGGTGTTGTTGCTGCTGTTGTTGGTGCTGTTGTTAGTGTTATTGCTGCTGTTGTTGGTGTTGTTGCTGCTGTTTGTTGTTATTTGTTGCTGCTGTTATTGGTATTTATTACTGCTGTTGTTGGTGTTGTTGCTGCTGTTGTTAGTGCTATTATTTCTGCTGTTATTTCTGCTGTTGTTAGTGCTGTTGTTGTTTTTGCTGCTGTTGTTGGTGTTTATTACTGCTGTTGTTGGTGTTTTTTGCTGCTGTTGTTAGTATTGTTGCTGCTGTTATTTCTGCTGTTGTTGCTGTTTTTCTGCTGTTGTTGGTTTGTTTGCTGCTGTTGTTGGTGTTGTTGCTGCTGTTGTTTGGTGCTGTTATTTGTGTTATTGCTGCTGTTGTTGGTGTTGTTGCTGCTGTTGTTGGTGTTGTTGCTGCTGATTTGTTGCTGTTGTTGAGTGCTGTTGTTGGTGCTGTTGTTAGTGTTGTTACTGCTGTTGTTGGGTTTGTTGGTGCTGTTGTTGCTGCTGTTATTGCTGCTGTTATTTGCTGCTGTTGGTGTTGTTGTGCTGTTGTTGGTGCTGTTGTTGGTGTTGTTGCTGCTGTTGTTAGTGTTTTTATTCTGTTGTTGTTGTTGCTGCTGTTGTTGGTGCTGTTATTGATTTGGCTGCTGTTGTTGTGTGTTTTTTTCTGCTGTTTGTTGTTTTGCTGTTGTTGGTGCTGTTGTTGGTGTTGTTGCTGCTGTTGTTGGTGTTTTTGTTGCTGTTGGTATTTGTTGCTGCTGTTTGTTGGTGCTGTTGTTGTGTTGTTGCTGCTGTTGTTTGCTGCTGTTGTTGGTGTTGTTTGCTGCTGTTGTTGGTGCTTTGCTGTTTTTGTTGCTGCTGTTGTTGGTGTTATTGCTGCTGTTGTTGGTGCTGTTGTTGGTGTTATTGCTGCCGTTGTTGGTGTTGTTGTGCTGTTGTTTGCTGCTGTTGCTGTGTTGTTGGTGTTGTGCTGTTGTTGGTGCTGTTGTTGTTGGTGCTGTTTCTGCTGTTGTTGGTGTTGTTGCTGCTGTTGTTGGTGCTGTTTCTGCTGTTGTTGCTGCTGTTGCTGCTGTTGTTGGTGTTGTTGCTGCTGTTGTTGCTGCTGTTGTTGGTGTTATTGCTGCTGTTGTTGGTGTTGTTTGCCGTCGCTGTTGCTGCTGTTGTTGGTGTTGCTGTTGTTGGTGCTGTTGCTGCTGTTGTTGGTGTTGTTCCCTGCTGTTTGTTGCTGTTGTCAGTGTTGGTGTTGCTGCTGTTGTTGGTGTTGTTGCTGCTGTTGTTGGTGCTGCTGTTGTCGGTTTCTGTTGCTGCTGTTGTTGGTGTTGTTGCTGCTGTAGTCGGCTGGTGTTGCTGCTGTTGTTGGTCTGCTGTTGCTGGTGTTGTTGGTGATGCTGCTGTTGTTTCTGCTGTTGTTGGTGCTGCTGTTGCTGGTGTTGTGATGTTGTTGCTGTTGTTGGTGTTGTTGCCTCTGTTGTTGCTGTTGTCATCGTGTTGGTGTTGCTACTGTTGTTGGTGTTGTTGCTGCTGTTGTTGGTGCTGCTGTTGTCGGTTTCTGTTGCTGCTGTTCTTGGTGTTGTTGCTGCCGTTGTTGGTGGTGTTGCTGCTGTTGTTGCTGTTGTCAGTGCTTGTGTTGCTGCTGTTGTTGGTTGCCTGATGCTGCTGTTGCAGGTATGGTTGGTGCTGTTGTCGTGTTGTTGCTGCTGCTGTTGATGGTGGTGTTGCTGCTGTTGTTGGTGTTGTTGCTGCTGTTGTTGGTGCTGCTGATGCTGCTGTTGTTGGTGGTGTTGCTGCTGTTGCTGCTGTTGTTGGTGGTGTTGCTGCTGCTGTTGTTGGTGGTGTTGTTGCTGTTTGTGGTGGTATTGCTGCTGTTGTTGCTGTTGTTGGTGGTGTTGCTGCTGTTGTTGGTGCTGTTGTTGGTGCTGCTGATGCTGCTGTCGTTGGTGGTGTTTGCTGCTGTTGCTGCTGTTGTTGGTGGTGTTGCTGCTGTTGTTGGTGGGTGTTGCTGTTGTTTTGGTGGTGTTGCTGCTGTTTGTTGCTGTTGTCAGTGCTGGTGTTGCTGGTGTTGTCGGTGCTGGTGTTTCTGTGCTGATGTTGTCTGTCCTGGTGTTTTCTGTGCTGATGTTGTCGGTGCTGGTGTTGTTGATGGTGTTGCTGTTGGTGCTGCTGTTGTTGTCGGTGTTGGTGTTGTTGGTGCTGCTGCTGTTGCTGGTGTTTTCGATGCTTCTGTTGTCGGTGCTGTTGTCGGTGCTGTTGGTTCTGCTGTTGTCGGTGCTGTTGGTTCTGCTGTTGTCGGTGCTGTTGGTTCTGCTGTTGTCGGTGCTGCTGCTGCTAGTGGTGGCGACGCCATTAATTATTTTCATTACCTTTTCCGGACTATATATCACAGTTAAGTCCCAGAGCAAACTGGGAGCCTGAGGATTAACCCATTTTCAAGAGACAAAGTAAAATTTAGTAAATTTTGTCCTCACGCCCCTACCGCAACCACGACACCACGACACCTATCTTAATGAAACTTTATTAAAAGAATTCTATCTCTTGTATTAAAATTATTATACTGTATGTATGTACCACAGTTTCCGCTTCTCTCTCTCATCAGCCTGTGTCATTTATCTCATACAGGAACACAGGGACTTATTGTGATGGTGATTGCGAATATTTTTGTGTCGGTGTAGATAAATCCATGTTTTCTTTTTTACGAGTGAGAAATATAGATGTAAGAGGTTAGGTATGGTGCTGCAAGAGAGACAAACGCAGGGAAGTGTGAAAGAATTATAGCTCGCATGTGTGAATGTGGGAAATTTTGTTACTCACATCCTAATGAGACGCCAGTGTTGATACTGGCCAGAATGTCAACAACATTTGGTAGGCGGGAGACCACAGGGAATATCAGTGCTGCTACCCCAGATTGAGTTTCTGTTCAGGAGAAAAAGGTTTCGACATAATTATATAATTTTTGTTGACTTGCGTTGGAATATTTCTCCTTAATTCTTTTCATTTGTTTCTTAAAAATGATATAATATTCAATATTTGTTTGTGCATTATATGAATAGTGTTGCGGTCGAGTGCATACTGTTCTCGCCTCCTGTAAATTAGGTCTGGTTCGTGATTGCGGTGCACTGCAAGTCAACCCGTCTGTACATTGGAACTAACTTTACAATCTAAGGAATGATGTCGAGTGTAGTACCAGCCACATTGCAACTTTTTTGCATACTGATAATCAGGTTTCCTGCATCCACGCTACAGTATCACCTAACGGACAGCCATGCCTATGGAATTCACTTTTATAATTATGCAGTATGTTTTCAGTAGTAATTACAGCAAAGATACATAATTTAAGTTGTAATACCGGGATAATGTGAGGATATTTGGTAGATCCACTTGCATTATGACAAAGAGAAAGGGACCGGTTATACATATGAGGAGATACTATCATGCCTGGGAAGTTAGTTAGACAGGAGACAAACAAACATACAGGTCAGAGAAAGAGTTAGAATGTGTGGATGAAAGATAACAAATTGGAAACTGGAGAATTAAATAAAAGTAAATGCTCCACACTCACTTAATTTGCATGGTGTTTCCTCAGAGCTTTCATAGTGTTTGTTGAAGTAAGTCAACAACTTCAGCGCATTACTTTTTCTTTTAAAGTAAACTAATTAACTCCCTCACGTTGAATTAGTGATGCAGGATTATGAAGAGGTGTATAGAACACAAGCCATACTGCAGCTTCCATTATACTGTGTGTCTATTGCTTTCACTGAGGCGAAGCTTCTTGGACGAACCACCCAGAACCGAGAGAGAGGCTGTACGAAATGATTGAACATCCAGGAGCTTGGTATGAAGGGCGGTGGTGAGTGTCAGGGGATATCTGAGGACCTTGACGCATAGAACACTCAATGGACTCTAGTAAGGACCAAAGAGAGGACGCATAAAGGTAAAAATTGTCCCTCTTGATCATGGCTGTTCTGTGTCTTATTAGAGAAAGGCTTGTATAAATCTATGTTCTGATTGGCTGTATTACCTATAGCAGCCAATCAGAAAGCATTTTACATACCTATCGACCGGGTATATGTGCTAGAACCATCAGTTTACGGGTGTAAGGTTGCTGGAATCATCAGTTAACGGGTTTAAAGTTGCTAAAATCATCAGTTAACGGGTGTAAGGGTTATAGAATCATTAGTCAACAGCTGTAAGGTTGCTAGAATCATCAGTTAACGGGTGTAAGGTTGCTAGAATCATTAGTTTACGGATGTGAGTTCCTTCAATCATCAGTTAACGGGTGTAAAGTTGCTAGAATCATCAGTTAACGGTTGTAAGGTTGCTAGAATCATCAGATAACGGATGACCGGTTGCTAGAATCATCAGTTAACGGGTGTAAGGTTGCTAGAATCATCAGTTAACGGGTGTAAAGTTGCTAGAATCATTAGTTTACGGGTGTACGGTTCCTTCAATCATCAGTTAACGGGTTTTAAGTCGCTAGAATCATCAGTTAACGGGTGTAAGTTTGCTAGAATCATCAGTTAACGGTTGTAAGGTTGCTAGAATCATCAGTTAATTTTTGTAAGGTTGCTTGAATCATCACTTAACGGATGTGTAGTTCTAGAATAATTAGCGAACGGGTTTAAGGTTGCTAGAATCATCAGTTAATGGTTGGTTCATTAGATCATCAGATTACGCGTGTAGGTTAATAGAATCATCAGTTTACTGGTGTAAGGTTGCTAGATTCATCAGTTAACGGTAGTAAGTTTGCTAGAATCATCAGTAAACGGGTGTAAGTTTGCTAGAATCATCAGTTTAAGGGTGTGGGGTTGCTAGAATCATCTGTTTACGTGTGTAATGTTGCTAGAATCATCAGTTTACGGGTGTAAGGTTGCTAGAATCATCAGTTTACGGGTGTAAGGTTGCTAGAACCATCAGTTTACGGGTGTAAGATTGCTAGAACCATCAGTTTCGGGTGTAAGGTTGCTAGAACCATCAATTTACAGGTGTAAGGTTGCTAGAATCATCAGTTTGCGGGTGTAAGGTTGCTAGAATCAGTTGTTGACGGTTGTAATTTTGCTAGAATCATCAGTTTACGGGTGTAAGGTTGCTAGAATCATTAGTTTACTGGTGTAAGGTTGCTAGAATCATCAGTTTACGGGTGTAAGGTTGCTAGAACCATCAGTTTACGGGTGTAATGTTGCTAGAATCACCAGTTTACGGGTGTAAGGTTGCAAGAAACACCAGTTACCAAACTCAATCCTGGTTTTCCTGTTCACCATTGAATTATTGTATGGTAGGTGTATTGAAACTGTATAATCTGTTTCATATCTTATAGGTTTTGTCTAATTCAGTGTTACTCAATTGCAATTTGTGAAGGACCTGCTACACAAATTTCCTCAGTCAACAGAGGATGAGATGGTGCTTTCACAATTGCGTAATTACGAACAGACAGGAGTTCACTGTATAATTTACTCCCGGGAACATGCTCGTATTATTTTAAATGAAATTATTGAAAACAAGAGATAATTTA